AGCTCCCGTTACATGTCCCAGCTTCTGCCAACTTAGCATTTCGAAAGCACGTAAAAATGCAAGTAGAAAAATAGAAACCACATTTGGTGGGAAGGTATCAGCGTTCTGTGCGCCTTCTGCGTTTAGTCATGCCTGCCACGTGACCACGGGGCCGTCTTTGGACAGTGCTGGCTCTTCGGCTTTGAAACAGAGATGAGCAACGCCCCCTATAGTCAGAAATGACTAGCACATATGTGCAAGCGGAACCTACCTGTACCTGTATACACCTGCAGACAATGCATCTACAGCTCTCTGTGTGGATTTTTTCCCCATTAATCTTTCACTGCTGCCAATGCGTTAAAAGAACAATCACAACAATGTGGAGCCATATTAGATGTGTGTGTTTGGGCTTTTCCAATCTGATCTGTGATTCCTGGATATTGACGTGTAAACTCTACATATCTTAAGTTGCTTTAGGAAAACAAAACCAAAGCACTTTGGATAACATAGAAGCCCTGTACTTGCCCTTAGATAAATGTTACATAAATCAAACACTCAGACAAATAAATGTTATTCAGGTTATCATCTTTGTGGCTTCTAAGAAAGAGAAAGTAGTTAAATTACTAAGTCAATATCTGCTAGCATAATAAAACCTTACAGATAAGAAATGCCATTCTCATCATCTAATCTTCTGTGGCTAATCCTTGTTATATGTCACAGGCCCCTGAGGAACAACTGAGGATTGATACGCAAACGTGTAACTCTTTTTTAATGGCTATGGAGGGTCGGTTATGACTGAATGGCTGATGATCTGACTGAACAGCTGACAGCCACAAGGATGGAAATTCTGAATCCTCTAGGCCAGAGGTTGGAAACTATGGCCCCTTTATGACCTGTGGACTTCAACCATTGTGGACTTCAACTCCCAGAGCATGGCTGGCTCAAGAATTCTGGGAGTTGAAGTTCACAAGTCATAAAGGGGCCAAGATTTCCCATCCCTGATGTCAGGGTAATGACGATTTAATAGCTGACCAGCTGCTGTAAGGCTCTAAACGACACGAAGATGAGTCAGCAGGGTTACTGCCACTTTAAGAAGCTGTATATATAAGGGAGGCCATGTGAGGGCGTCTCTCCCTCCTCATGTATCTCTCTCTTTGTGTCTCTCTCTCCTCGTGTTCTATCTCCATTGTGGTTCCCTGTGTAGAGTGAAAGATTGATTGCTTGCCTGGTATTTGCCTAATACATGTATGTATATATATATAAGTCTTGTATATAAACCACTGTTTGAAATACAAAACCTCTGTGTACTGTATTTTGCTCTCAAAATAGTTTTCATACTGTGCGTACTCGGACACCTGATCTAGTTCATGATTGTCCCAACGGTGCTTTTCAAAAGTCAACTGGACTTTCTTGGGGGGGGGGGGAGTGCCCTTGAAAATGGTTTCACTTCTCATCCAAGAAGTGAAGAAGCTTCTTGGATAAGAAACAAAACATTTGCAAGGGGAAAAAATGCAAGGAAGTCCAGTTGCCTTTTGAAAAGCTCCTTTGGGTCTCTTTCATTGGGGTTTGGGGCTGGGGATAGATGGGGACATCGGCTAAAGCCAACCTTGAAGGCCCTTTTTCCAAGTTGGTCATGCATTCATACCCATCTCCCTTGACTTCCCCCTATCATTTAGCTTTCGTGCCTGAATTAATTAATGCATTGACTATATCCCTGATTTCCCATATTTCATTTCTGTTTCTTAGAAAGAAGAACAAAAAGAATTTCCTAAGGTTGTGGAGCTCAGGAAATCAGGACCTCCAGTCGCTAAGGTAACCTCACTTTAAACCAGATTTCCCAACTGGGAATGGGAACCGAGGGATCGTGGTTGGAACAAGCTGCAATAAACATACCGTTTCCCTGAAAATAAGACCTCCCCGGATAACAAGCCCAATTGGGCTTTTGAGCGCATGCACTAAAATAAGCCCTACCCCAAAATATTGCAACACAGTAGCAGCCATGAGGTGACTACACTTGCTGCCTCCTGAACCTCAAAAATAATAAGACCTCCCCCAAAAAAAGGTCAGATGCTTATTTTTTGGGGGGGGGGGTGAAAAGAAAATAAGACCCTGTCTTATTTTTGGGGAAACACTGTATAAAGATAACTATGTTGGAAACTTTTCACGTTCCTGAAAATGAACTTCCGGCCTCCGGGAGGGTTGGAGAGGCCGTTTTCACCCTCCCCATGCTCCTAGAAAGCCTCTTGAGCCTGAGGAGGGTGAAAACGGACCTTCCGGGCCCACCAGGAGTTGGAAAAAGGGCCATTTCTGACCTCAGGGGGGATGGGGAAGGCCATTTTCGCCCTCCCCGGGCTCCAAGAAAGCAATGCGCAG